CTACTCTAAATACCGGAACCCAAGTACTCTAAATTACCATGGATACGGCTAGACTGGTAGCCACCTTCACTCCGCCAAGTATCCTTGGCTACAATGAACTCAGTTAGTCTAGCGTGTAGAACTGTTGACCGGGGAGCAGTCTAGCTTAGCCGCCGAAGCCGTGTGAAGAAAAACTACGTGAAAATGCCATGAACATAGCCTCGTGGCGCCATCTATGGGACGCCATATGTTCGAAAATAATGTCAGGGCATGAAACACCAAAAATGGTAACTCGCTTTTCTACAGGAAAACGAACGCCGAGCAGCAAAAGAACAATTACGACCATTTCTATGAAATGTCTGCCTACGTGCGTAGTGAAAAGGCTTGTGAAATCGCCACAACTGCTGAATTGAGCGATTATACGACTTTGGTCTATACCCAAAGAGACCCGTGTAAGGTGATGGAGCGGGGGCAGCGAAGTTGTGTTAGATTGCCGCTACGCGGCGTTTTCGCGCTTCGCGCGGATATCCGGCTGCAGATCGTCTAGATAAGATTTTACCATGCACACGTGCCGTCGGCCCGCTCGCGACTATTTTGAACGTATAAGAACGGCCGAAGAAAATTCTATTGACAGTCAACGGCGACCGACGGCGGAGCACCATTTTCATGAACATTAGCATAACTGGGAACCCAGGGCGTGATGCTGCAAGCAAAGTGAATATTATAGACCGGATTTTACCATGCACACGTGCCGTCGGCCCGTCCGCGACTAGTTTGAACGTATGAAAATGGCCGAAGAAAATTCTCTTGGCAGTCTACTTAACGATAAAGACATATTTGCGCGTCTAGATGTTTGTTGTTATTGCACCAGACGACGAGACGCGTAAGTTGGTTGGTGTTAGCATCTTTGAATTGGCGATGTCTGTTGGCTGGAGGGTTCGTATATAAGGCGTTTGAGCGTCAGCTACAAATTCATCGCTTCATAAAAGCAATCGCTGTGCTACGTATGGACTATACCAGGATGAACAAACGTCTAAGATCGGCGTATATCTAGGACGCGGTGGACTTACAACCAAGGTAAGTAATTTTTCATGAAGTTAGTTCACACACAGGTGAGGTTATTTTCCAAGTTTTTCAAGGGTAATTGGTAAGCGAGTAATAACATCAACAGCACCACGCGTTCTAGTCCAGCGGATGAGCACATGGATTGTGCACTTTTGGTTTGAATTGTGAAACTTTTCATACGCGTACTACATGAGATCCTGAAGAATTTCTGATATAGTGCCAAATGAACAGCGCCATCTGGTGACGAACGGGGCCCTTGGCGTGTTAACGGGTATTGCGTTCTAACACTCTTAAGCCTGGCGCAGACTTGCGACTTTTTCATGCAACTAGGCAGCGATTCCAGAATCGCAGTCGAAATTGCTGTGAAATCGCTACGTCTGCGGAAACGTGCAACTGCAACCCGTAGCGATTCTGGGGCAAGATTCATCAACGTTGCGTAAAGTGTATTGCGTGTACAGAGTTTCTACGAAGTACGTACGCAAAGCTCGTAGGTGCGATTCATCAACGCAGCGTAGCACCTGCGTACGCAAATGTTGATGAATTCCAGTGTAAATCCACTACGCCATCGTAGCTGCTGGTTGTTGAGGGGCGTGCCTAGCATAAACCAATCACACTGTGCGACACATACCATATCAACCAAACTGACGTCTCTCTTGTATGTAAACCATATGGCTCTAGCTTTGTCTACGGGAGTGCTGGTGGATGTGATCGTTGTCCTCATTTTCGTTTGTATGATTGCGTTCAACACTCGATGAAAGCAGTGACACGTACTCGTGCGTGCGTGCGTGTGTACTTACACGTGCGTGCGTGCGTGCGTGCGTGCGTGTGCACATGTGCGTGCGTGTGTTGTTCCCTAACACGCGCGTGCGTGTGCACGTACACGTGCGTGCGTGTGCACGTACACGGCTAACTACGAGGCCCCTGATTGGTCGGCTGCTAGGAGGCTCCTGATTGGCCGGTTGCTAGGAGGCTCCTGATTGGTCAGCTGCTACAAGGCTCGTGATTGGCCAGCTGCCACGAAGCTCCTGATTGGTCGGTATCTACGAAGCCCCTGATTGGTCGGTTGCTAGGAGGCCCCTGATTGGTCGGTTGCTATGAAGCTCCTGATTGGTCGGCTGCTAGGAGGCCCCTAATTGGTCGGCTGCTACGAGGCTCCTGATTAGTCGGTAGCTACGAGGCTCCTGATTGGTCGGTAGCTACGAGGCTCCTGATTGGTAAGTTGCTACGAAGCCCCTGATTGGCCGGCTGCTAGGAGGCCCCTGATTGGTCGGCTGCTAAAAGGCTCCTGATTGGCTGGCTGCTAGGAGGCCCCTGATTGGACGGTCTCTACGAGGCCCCTGATTGGTCGGTTTCTACGAGGCCCCTGATTGGTCGGTTTCTACGAGGCCTCTGATTGGTCGGCTGCTAGGAGACCCCTGATTGGTCGGCTACTAGGAGGCCCTTGATTGGTCGGCTGCTACGAGGCTCCTGATTGGTCGGTTGCTAAGAGGCTCCTGATTGATCGGCTGCTAGGAGGCCCCTGATTGGACGGTTTCTACGAGGCCTCTGATTGGTTGGTTTCTACAAGACCTGGGATTCGTCGGCTGTTATGAGACCCCTGATTGGCCGGTTTCTACGAGGCCCCTGATTGACTGGCTGCTAGGAGGGCCTTGATTGGTCGGTTGCTAGGAGGCCCCTGATTGGTCGGTTGTTACGAGGCCCCTGATTGGTCGGTTTCTACAAAGCCCCTAATTAGCAAGCAACCAATCAGGAGTCTCGTAGCAGCCCACCAATCAGGGGGCCTCCTAACAACCGACCAATCAGGGGCCTCCTAGCAACCGGCTAATCAGGGGCCTCATAGCAACTGACAAATCAGAGGTGTCGTAGCAGCCGACCAATCAGGGGCCTCGTAGCAGCCGACCAATCAGGAGCCTCGTAGCAACCGGCCAATCAGGGGCCTCCTAGCAACTGACCAATCAGGAGCCTCGTAGCAACCGACCAATCATGGGGCCTCGTAGCAACCGACCAATCATGGGGCCTCCTAACAGCCGATCAATCAGGGGCCTCCTAACAGCCGATCAATCAGGGGCCTCCTAGCAGCCGACCAATCAGGGGCCTCGTAGCAGCCGACCAATCAGGAGCTTCGTAGCAGCCGACCAATCAGGGGCCTCGTAGCAACCGGCCAATCAGGGGCCTCGTAGAAGCCGACCAATCAGGGGCCTCGTAGCAGCCGACCAATCAGGAGCCTCGTAGCAGCCGACCAATCAGGGGTCTCCTAGCAACCAACCAATGAGGAGCCTCGTAGCAGCCGACCAATCAGGGGCCTCGTAACAGCCGACCAATCAGGAGCCTCGTAGCAGCCGACCAATCAGGGGTCTCCTAGCAACCAACCAATGAGGAGCCTCGTAGCAGCCGACCAATCAGGGGCCTCGTA